AAGGATACGAGAGTGGTGATCGCAGCTGGCTTTGCTTTTTATTTCCTCTGCCTGTCATCTGTCGAGTGCTTATCTTGTGCCATGCACTGTTCTACGAACCTTACTTTCATTATCTTATTTGGTCCTCACCACCTCTCTCAGCCAGTTGCTATTATTATCCCCATTATGCAAAAGAAAAAGCCGAGGCTCAAAGAGACCTCATAACTTTCTCAAGCCACAGGTCCAGCAAGCAACAGAACTGGGTGAGAACCCAGTGCCAGTCTGACTGCACAGCCAGTCCTATTAACCCCATCACAGCAGACCTCGCTTTACAGATGAGGAAACTGAGGCTCAGAAAGGCTGATTGCCAACGTCCACATGGTCTATATGGGGTAAAGCCAGGCCAAGCTCATAGACTTATTGCAAAACCAGACATGGCCCTGCCACCAAGGCATGTGTTTTTCAAGTGGTGTTCCCAGTGCTGCTGCTTTGGCTGGATACTAATAGCTGTTAAACCATTAGGGGTTCTTTGGTCAAATGTGTTTGAGAAACATCACATTTAACAATGGGATTTCTTTTCTGAGAGTTCTCTGTGCCTTCAGTGTGACCACGTGTGCTGTAAGTCTCTAGAAGGCTGGAGCTGTCCCAAAATCTCCGGGGATTTGTTTTCCCCAGAGCACGCTTTGAGAAACTAAATCTCTCTGATCCCTTTTAGTTCCGTGATGCTGATAGAGATTAATCAGGCCAGTTCTCTCATGGCTTGGCCGTTGAGCTCTCACGAACGTGCTGAGTGAAGAAGCCCTCTGAGACTTTATGCTGAGGCTACGACAACTGGCCTCCACACCCCACTTCTCTGCCCGCTCCCCGGCTTCTCCTCATGCAGCGGCCATATGCTGAGTGCTTGGTGTGTAGTAGACATCAGGCTTAGCACTACATTTATCACTCAGAAAAACCCTCACACCAGCACACCACTTCTCTGCCCGCTCCCCGGCTTCTCCTCATGCAGCGGCCATATGCTGAGTGCTTGGTGCGTCGTAGACATCAGGCTTAGCACTACATTTATCACTCAGAAAAACCCTCACACCAGCACAGAGAGAGGAGATACTGTTATCCTCAATTTGCAGACAAAGAAACTGAGACTTAGCGAGGTTAGGTCACCTGCCCAAGGTCACAAGGGGGGTTTATAGTGAAGCTGGACTCAAACCCTGGTCACTTGGCTCCAACACTGCATAATCACTAAGCCGTCCTGACCAAGGCCTCACAGCTAATAAAAGGCCAGGCTCTGACCACTGTTCCCGTACGTCTCGGCTCTACCCTTTATTTATTTTCACCTCAGGCAAGTCGTTTGACTTGTCTAAACTTCTGTACTGTCACCTCTAGAATGCAGCCACTCTCCTAGTGGCTTCCTATGAGAATTTCATGAGATAATATACATTCCCTGCTCAGTAACAGTGGCACACTGAGAGCTCAGCCTCCAGAATTGTACCTCCTGAGTTCGAGTCCTGAGTCTGCCACTGACCAGCGAAATGTGTGAGACTTTTGGAAAGTTCCTCAGTTCTCTGCGGATAGTAATACGTACCTCATAGGGAGGTTATGAGGACTAAACAAATTAAAAGATGTTCAGCTTTAGAAACAGCACTTCACACATGCTGTGTGATCCTGTTAGCCGCTGCCACCATCACTGTCCTCTCTCATCTCTCTCTCCCTCTGCTAAACTAGAAGGGTTGCATCGAGATTAAATGTTCCATCTCACTGACTGAGAAGGGACTTATCAAACTCCGGAATGTTGAGGTGTGGGGAATCATAGGAACTCCTAGGAATCATTTCGTCCAGCCACCTCATTTTATAATTTGGGAACTGAAGCCCAGAGAGAGTGAGTGAGTTGTCCAAGGTCACACAGCCTGTTTGTGGCAACCTGGATTACAGCCGGGTTTGATGTTCTTTCCACATACCATCCTGCCTTTCCTGGAAAACTCTTGAATTCAGTAATTTGAACAGAAGGAGATAAAGGTAAGAACACGGAGGTTACTGCCTCTTGCCACCACGTGCATGCCATGCTGTTAGTTTGCCGTGTGTTACAGACAGCAGCATATGGCTGGGAGATCTGCTTGTAGGATTTCAAATCTTACACAAACCTACTGTGACTTAAAGATGAAAACGGGAATTGTTAAATGTCTAAATCTTTTATTTCCACATGTTGTTTATGGAGCTTCCTTCCTTCAGGGGCAGGCACAGTTCTCTGCTTAGCCATATCCAGGGCACATCTCTATGCCTGACCTGGGGGTGCTATTTGGAGCTGAGCACTGCTTCCTGCCTCCCACGTGCTTGTCTTTGTTTGTTTGTTTAATAACACCTTTAATGAGGAATAACTGACATCCAGTAAACTGCACATATGTAAAGTGTTCATTTCGAGTTTGGACATGTGTGTCCACTGGGACAACCTTCACACAAGCAAGATAACGAACAGAAGTTTTCTCCTGTCTCTTTGTAATTCTTCCCTCCTGTCCCTCTCCTACTGTAGATTAGTTTGCATTTTCTAGAGTTTTGTATAAATGTAATTATACAGTATGTACTCTCTTTTTGTCTGGCTTCCTTCAGTCAGCATAATTATATTGAGATTTATCTGTATTGGTTCATGTATCAGTAGTTCATTACTTTTACTGCTGTGTAATTATTCTAGTATCGAATACTATCGTATGGCCATGCTAGTTTATTTTCTGGTTAATGGGCATGTAGGCTGTCTTTCAGCTTTGCCTATTATGGGTAAAGCTCCTGTGAACATTCATGCACAAGGCTTTGTGTAGACATACGCTTTCATTCCTCTTGTGTAAACACCTAGTCATGATAGGGCTGGGTTATGTGGTACGTGTATGTTTAACTTTTCGACAAACTGCCAAATTGTTTTACAAAGTAGTTATATCATTTACATTCTCACCAGCAATGCATGAGTGTTTCAGTTGTTCCACATGTTTGTGAGCACGTGGTGTAGTCAGTCTTTTTAATTTTAGCCATTCTAATAGGTATGAGGTGGTGTCTCATTGTAGTTTCGATTTGCATTTCTCCAGTGACTAATGATGTTGAGCATCTTTTCACGTGTTTATCTGCCATTTGTATATCATCTTTAGTGAAGTGTCTCTAGATGAACTGGCCCCTTTATCATTATGAAATGACCCAAGGAATATTGTTTCCTCTAAAATCTACTTTGATGTTAATATAGCTTCTTCATCTTTCTTTTGATTAGTGTTAACATAGTTTATCATTTTCCGTCCTTTTACTTTTTACCTATTTGTGTCTTTGTATTTAAAGTTGATTTCTTGTAGGTAGCTTGTAGTTGGGTCTTGCTTTTTTATATAATCTGACAATCTGTGTTTTCTAATTGAGGTGTGTAGATCATTTACATTTAATATGGTTATTGATATGATTGAGTTTAAATCTACCATCTTGCATTTTGTTTTCTCTTTGTCTCATCTCTTCTGTTACCTTTTTTTCTCCTTTTGGATTAACTGAGTTTTTGTGGATGTTTTTTTGTTTGTTTTTGTTTTTAATTTCTCTGTCTCCTTATTAGCTATAACTCTCTGTGTTTTTAGCTGTTGCTTTACAGTTTATAGTATATATCTTTAACTTATCTAACCTACTTTCAAGTGATAGTATACCACTTTATGTATAACACAAGATTCTTGCAAGAGTATATTTCCATTTCTCCCTTCCCAGACTTTGTGCTTCTGTTGCCATATGGTTTACTTATATATATTATAAACTCCACAATAAATTATTTTTTGCTTTGGACAGTCAATCATCTTTTATTTATTTATTTTTTATTTATTATATATATTATAAACTCCACAATAAATTATTTTTTGCTTTGGACAGTCAATCATCTTTTAAAGAAATAACTTAAAAAACCCACCTTTTATATTTACCCATATAGTTACTATTTCCAGTGCTTTTAATTCCTTTGTGTACCAGATTTCCACGTGGTATTTTCTTTCTGTCTGAAGGACTTCCTTCAACATTTCTTGTAGGGCGGATCTGTTGGTGATGAATTCGTTCAGCTTTTGTGTGTCTGAAAAAGTCTTTATTTTGCCTCATTTTTGAAAGATATTTTCCTTGGGTTTAAATTCTAGGCTGACTTTTTTTTTTCTTTCAGTACATTAAAGGCATTGCTCTAGTGTCTTCTCACCTGCACTGTTTCAAACAAGAAATCTGTCATCCTTACCTTTGTTTCTCTTAACGTAGTGCTCCTCTTTTCCCCCCAACCCTACAGCTGCTTAAAATTTTTAAAACATAATCACTGATTTTGAGCAATGTGATTAAGATATGCCATGGGTAGTTTCTTTGTGTTTTTCTGTGCTTGAGTTAATTGAGTTTATATCAAGTACGAAAAAATTTTAGCCATTATTTTTTTCAAATATTTTTGTGCTTTTCACCTCCTCCCTTTTAGAGTAATCCACGTGCACATATATTAGGCTGCTTGGAGTTGTTCCATGGCTCCCTGATGCTCTATTCATTATTTTTTGGGTTTTTTTCCCCCACTGTTTTATTTTAATTTCTATTGCTATTTGTTAATTTTTTTTTTTTTTTTGCCCTGTGATGGCTAATTTGCTCTCACTCCTATCCACTTTATTTATTTTTATTTTTAATAAAAGCCAAGTAGTTTAATGACAAGATTCCTAAGAGAAAAAAAGAGACAATTTCTGGTAGCACATGCACGAATATACATACACATTGATGAATTAATAATACATAGTTATCGTATTTATTAATCAGGACTCTTCATTGCAAAGTGATAAAAACCTTGTAGCAGGTGTTCAAGAATAGAATGCCCACACCTGCACGTGTTCTCAGTGGCTGGAAATACAATGGTGAGGGACAAAGTGCTTATCTGCAGCATAAAGAACTTTCCTTATCAGAGGGCATACTGTGAGGACTTTAAGCCCGGGGGAGGACATCAAGGTTCTCCAGAGCTGGGCTGGTTGGGAGGTGGGAGTCTTACGGCTTTATTTCTTCTTAACTGTCCGCAGATGTGGCAGAAAATTGAGGATGCAGAGTGGAGACCTCAGACCTACCTGGAGCTGGAGGGTCTGCCCTGCATCCTAATCTTCAGTGGGATGGACCCGCATGGGGAATCCTTGCCAAGGTGAGTGGAGGCACTTATGCTCTGGGGGGCTTTGAGCAGCCTGGCCTTAAGCTGTGTGTGGGTGTGGGTGTGTGGGTGTCCGGGTGTCCACGTGCCAGGCTGGGCTACCAATGCCCGACTCTAGGTGGCGCTGTTCACATTCATAGTCATAGATTTGTGTATTTATTATGACAGTTTTATGGCAGATGGTAGTAAAATGTATCTGAGGCTTGGGAAGCCATTCCTAATTCTCAGGCACCTTTTGATCTTGTGGGGGTGCTGGTGCCGGGCTCCATGGGTAGAGGCCTGTCAGCTGCAGTTACAGTTTAGTGCCTCCGTTTCTCCCCATGGGGGTCATTGCATGTTAGGGATGGCAGTTCCGTTATGACAGTATTACATCATTTCCAGGGTTTGGGACTGTGGTTCCTGCTGGTGCCTGGGCTGTCTCGATAGCTGGTCCCTCCTGGCTTAGGAGATGTTCTGGGAAGTCCCCAAAGAGTGGACTGTCTCAAAGGCTGCTTTCCTCTGCAGCCATCACAGCCATGCAGATCTCAGCCTCTCGGCCTCTCAGTGTATTCAGCCTCTCCTGGGGGCCTCTAGGCTGTCACATGCACAGATGCTCAGAACGGAAGGTCACTGGGCCTCCTGTAAGGTAGTCACTTGGATTGGTGGTGACAGTTTGTCTTTTAAAGACTTAATATCCATGGAGAAGAGCAGGCATCCTTGCTGTGGGGCCTTTGTGTGGCTGCCCTTTTGTGGCAGATAGTAAGAGCTGACATTGCATTCCTGGGGTATGTGCTGGGCACTGCCCTAGATTCTCCCATGTGCTTTATTTCACTTCAGTCTAACCATAACTCTGGGGGATGGGTAGTATTTCAGTAGTTCCATCACATTGATGAAGAAACTGAGGCTTACAGAGATTAAGCCCATGTGGCTGACAACAGGCCTGGCTTCTTTCCCTGGGACCATGGCATGCATAAGCAAGGGCGTTGTGTGTGCTGCTTACTCAGGGGCTAGCTACAGGTGGCTCTAAAACGCTGAACTTGGGCTGTTGCTGTTTCACACGGATTAATTCTTCTATTCCTCAGGTCCTAAGGACATTGTAATTATTCCGTCAACATTTAGCATGTGTCAGGGACTGTGCTAGATGCTAGGGATATGGTGGAAATGAGTCTGTCTGTGGGGACAGACACTAGCAAGTCACAAAGCCTGTGTGCAGGAGAAGAAAGGCTGACACGGTGCTTGGGGCATGTAGCAGAAACAGCACAGGGCTTGGAGAGGGGCAGATGCGGCTCCAATCAGGCCCTGAAACTTACTGCTCAGGCAAATGGCCTTTAATTTATTCGACAGTAAAACAGCAGAGTAATGCTGTTGCCGCAAGAAGTAAATGCTATAGTAGAAGTCTAGCATAGTGCCTGGTACAAAGAAGGTACTCAGTAAATGCCTGCTAAAGTTCACTTATGATATTTAATCTGCACAACAATGCACTTAGGTGGTGAGTAATATTCATTCCCATCTTTCAGATGAAAAAATCGGAGCCTCAGAGAAGTGGCACAGCTTGTCAAAGTTTCCATCGCTAGAAAGTGGCAGAGCTGGGGGCTTCAAGCCCCATTTTTGTTGGACCCAAAAGTCAGTGCTCTTTTGATTACGTGGCGCACAGGGCTAAATACGTAGCAAGTGCCCCGAAAGACTTATGTTAAGCTGATTGTTGCTGCGAATTTGCAGTAACGTTGTTGCTTTCCCTTTTGCGTGGTCCTGCAGTCATGAGGAAGGCAGGTGTGGTCCCGATCACCGCTGCCCCCAGCACCAGGAACAGTGCCTCACTTTAGAAGGCACTTGATAAACGCCTTCTCCTGTGTCCTTGTAGGTCTTTGAGGTACTGTGACCTGCGTTTGATAAACTCCTCCTGCTTGGTGAGAACAGCCCTGGAGCAGGAGCTGGGCCTGGCCGCCTACTTTGTGAGCAACGAGGTTCCCCTGGAGAAGGGGGCTAGGAACGAAGGCTTGGAGAGTGACGCAGAGAAGCTGAGCAGCACAGACAACGAGGATGAGGAGCTGGGGACAGAAGGTGAGGGGGCACGACCCTCACCCGTGCCGCACATCTTCCTTGGCTTCTGATCTTTGAGGCTACCTGCACGTAGCTGGACACTGTCTCCAGCTCCTTGTGGTCCTGGGCCTGTCTGCTGGGTGGCAGCTAGATAAGTCTTTGATGATGGAAATGGCAAAGCCCTCAGTGAATTCAGATTTTGTGGGTTTTTTTCCCCTTTCTTTTTTGGTGGTATGAGAAAATAGAAATCCCTATAGGTTTTTTCCTAACTCTAGAATTCTTAAAGACTAGGAAGAAAAATTGAGATTTCTTAGGGTTCAAGTTCATGCTTTATTCAAATTGTTTATTCAAATCTTATACCTGGTATAAGATTCTTATTTCCTGTATGTGAATCAACTCAACAGTATGCTGTCCATTATTGAGATTTATGAAAACAAAACCTGACGCTATATTTCAGTGGGACACATGAATGAGAGAAGTCAAGACATTTGGCTGTAGGCAGTACTGGGGCAAGAAAAAATAAAAAGCTGGTAACACGAAAACTGCAAAGCACTTTGTGGAGTGTGGAGTGGGAAGAGAGGGGCGTAGAGTCTTGAGCCCGGGACCGCGGTGTTCCTCCTCTGTCTGCTGATCATGACGTGGGTCAAGTCCAGAACCTCTCCCAGCCTCGGATTGCTCATCTGTAAGATGGGCTTCTGAAGATCTGCCTGCCAGACTCCCGGCAGCCGTGTTTCAGAAGCATGATCCTGACCCCGATATATTAAGTGCTTCCATTTCCTGTTGCCCGAGGTGTGACTGTACTTCCTGGTGTCACCCTTTGCTCCTCCCCGCCCTCCTGCCCCAGCTGCTATGTGGAGCTAGGGGCAGCAGCCTGGCTGCACCCTCCCTGCCTCCCCTCTGGGCTGCATGGCTGTGCGTCTGCCACCTGGCATTCCCCTTCTTCTGCGCCTCACCTGGAAACCCCTGCAGCCCCTCAGCACTCGGGGCTGATGCCACCTCTTCCAGGAGTTTGCTGCTCCTGCCCTCAGGCTCCTGGGCCCCTCTCTCTGCACTTCCTACGCCGCCCTGCGAGCGCCTCGCTGCCCTCTCCGTGCCTTCCTCCTCCTCTGTCCTCGTTGGTCGGTGGCAGATGAACACATGAATGTGCACATGTGTGAATGCACTTCATAAACTGTAAATTGCTGGGTGAATGTGGAGGTGGTGACGACGCATTCTCCATGTGTGTGTTTTGAAACAGGCTCCACCTCGGAGAGGAGAAGTCCTGTGAAAAGGGAGCGATCCTGCTCCCACGACTCAGCGTCCTCGTCCCTGTCCTCCAAAGCGTCCGGTAAGTCTTCCCAAGTGGGAGAGATCAGGCAGTTCACTGTTTTTTGAGATTTCAGGGAGTAAAACATGTATAGGACTATTTGCTGGCCCTTTATTTTCAATCAGAACTGGAACGAGAAGGAAATCTTCCAAGGACTGGACTCTGGAGAGCACATTTTTCTGGACTGGGATCTGAGACCTCCTGGGCAGGACTGGGAGGTTCAGCCGCCCTGTTCTCAGGAGAAGACTCTGCTCCTCGCCGTGGCCTGGGCCCCAGGCGGGGCCCCTTGGCACTCTCCATGCAGCTGTGGGTTTGGGAAGTCACTGTGCCCCTGAGGAGCAACAAGAGTTCATGATCCCTGTACCCAGGACTGGCTTCGGCGGAGAGAGGAGGGAATGTGAATGACACCTCCCACGGTCTCTGCCGGAGGGGCTCCCTTGGTCTCTGAGAGCAGTCAGGACCATGTACATGAAACACTGTCACCTGCCTTCCCACCAAGAGCATTTATTTTATTTTATTTTTTTTTTAATTTTTAAAAATTTTGGACCATGTACATGAAACACTGTCACCTGCCTTCCCACCAAGAGCATTTATTTTATTTTATTATTTTTTTAATTTTTAAAATTTTTTTTTCTTTTTTTTTTTGTCTTTTTTCATGTCCGACAACGGATCGCAACCCTCAGTGTCGCGCCCGTACCGGACCGGGACCAGCAACGGGATCGCAACCCTCAGTGCTGCACCCGCACCTCGCTCAGCCAGTGAGCGGGAACCGGTCTGTATGTGGGATCCGAACCCTCGTCAGGAGCGCCACCGCACTTCCCAAGCGGCGCACTGTGGAGCATTTATTGAATCAGGGCATTTGATATAATCTGAATGTTGAAAGATAAATTAGATGAGGACTCTGCCCTGAAGAAGTGCATCATTCCTCATAGAACTATGTTATTGTGTTAGGGGCTGCTTTACTTTTTGTGCGCTGCTCACACCGCCACACACGGGAAGTGTTACATGTAGGAGAAGTAGGTAATTTTTTCTCAGGCAGGAGGCAGATTTAGGGGCAGTGCATGGTCACCACAGGCTGTAGGGAGCAGCANTGTTGAAAGATAAATTAGATGAGGACTCTGCCCTGAAGAAGTGCATCATTCCTCATAGAACCATGTTATTGTGTTAGGGGCTGCTTTACTTTTTGTGCGCTGCTCACACCGCCACACACGGGAAGTGTTACATGTAGGAGAAGTAGGTAATTTTGTCTCAGGCAGGAGGCAGATTTAGGGGCAGTGCATGGTCACCACAGGCTGTAGGGAGCAGCAAACCCTTGCCTGGGCCTTGGAGGAGAAGGTACTCCAGGTGGAGGGAAGTTTATGGGAAAGGGTGTCAAGGGCATGGGGAGTTGTCCAGCAGTCACAGCCCAGGGTGCGGGTGTGTGACTGGCTGTGGCTGGGGGCATTGAGAGACACTGTCGTGTGGTCTGGGTCGGCAAGATTCGGCCTAGGAGCACCTCCGGCTGCCTTTCCGCCACTGTGCCTCATGTAGCGTTGATGGCATGGAGTGGGGCGAGTGGGGCAAGTGGGGTCTCCCTCCCAGCTGTTCACAGAATGAGGCCTCCTTAGCCTCGGCTGCAACCCTTGACTGAGGGAAGCTGATTCACAGGCTGGGAGGAGCGGCTGGCAGGTTTTGCGATGGGTCCTCCCTGGGACGTGACTGATCAGAGTCCTCTCTTCTCAGGTTCAGTGCTCTGTGGGGAGCCCTTGGCTCAGCCCATGGGGTCTTCTCAGGGAGAGCAGACCCTGTCGCCCCCGCCCTGTGGCCTGGCAGAGGAGGCCAGGGCCCCGGCCGAGAAGCAGCGACTGCGTGCCACTCAGGGGCCACCTGTGGCCCTCAGCAGGCACAGCCCGGGCCCGGCCCCCCCACCCGACTGTGGCCCCAGGAGC